GGGGTGGGGATGGGTCCAGACCGAATTCGGATGGTTTAAGAATACTTTCCTTCGTAGAATTAATCAGTCCATTTTTTTTTCTGCCTAAGGGGAAGTCTTAACCCCGGGGAGCAGAGAGTGTTTTCCCGTTATAAAAGTCCACAGGTTAAGGGGGGTCTGGAATATTGTGAGACCTGAATACAGAAAAGGTGGAGGGAATCCTTGGATGTTAAGCGCCCTATACTATTATAAAGACGGTTAGTCTCAATTGCACGCAATGCAAATTCATTGTTATAAGGTTGTAATTATTGTTGAATCTATTCATTATAAATTCATAGTTCAGTTACTTAAGTTTAGAAATAATAAGTGCATGTTTTGTGATTCATGTTTGTTATTTGAATGAGTTCGGATTTAGTATTTAGTTATTTGCATGTTAAATAAATCGTGTAGTACATTTCATGCATTTCTTAGGACGCAAACTGTGAATAGATAAATTAACTGTTTTAAATGATTTGTATTTTTTATGCTGAAGATTGATTTCCCTATGTCTGAAATCGAATGAGATTTAATCGCTAGTCAGCAAAATAAAGTAGTTACGGCAAGGAGTGAAGTCCGCAAATTCATTCGTGTAATTAAGCTGTGAATTCTTTTCACCGGAGAATCGATGGTTGAATCGAGTAATGTGTGCTGGCTGGCAGTTCATCTGGTAATTGATAGCTATAGCGGGGTGTGATGGTTTATCTAAAGAGGTCCAATTAAATCATGGCTACAGTAGGGATGTGAGAGCAGCTAGCATGACATTGATCAATGATAATTGGATAATGAGTGTGTATTAACGGTTGGAAAATAACCATAGCTAGTTCTGTTGAGTTTTGATAGACGATATCTGAAGCAGAGGGAGAGCGGAAATATTTGTTGATCCCATGAGAAGTAGATCCTAACATATATTTAGTTTATATAAAATATTTTTATTTGAAGGTAAAAAAAGAAATAGTTCCACACCTGACTGCACAACGAAAATGAGGGTGCAGGCCTCATCTAAGAAGTTGATGACCCAGTGAGGCTAGTAGTACAGCAGTGATTTGGGGGTGGACCGGAATCACAAGGTGATGATGCTATGTTAGGCAATCTGAGTTTGATCTGTAACTCAATCATATGATGAAATTTGTTCTATCAGTAACAGAACAGCTAAAAAAAATTCTCATAATTCTTTAAACTCTATAGTTGAGAGTAAATGAAACATTCGTGGGTCATTATTGTTCATGTGATTAATTAAATTGTATTTTACATACGGAGGCTCTTGTGATTATGTTCGATATCTCTGCTTAGTTCCCTGCTAACCCATCCCTTAATTTCATAATTTATGCTATTTATTACTCGATCCGGGAAATAACACAGTGGTGGATTATCTCCTGGAAAGACGATGATAACCAAACTCATTAAGGAGTGGGAAAGATCTCACATGATAAAGATCAAGGTTGCTACTGATTCCACGTGTCCCGAGGGTGAAATGCCACTTTTATATAGGGAGGAAGATGATTTTTAATAGTCTTTACATTCAAAATTTTCTTTAGATTTTATTATTCCGATTTTTATACATTTATTTTGTCTTCATTGATTTCTCTTAGAATCTCCCACAAGTTCAATTTTTGCTTGTTGCATTAAGTCGAAATAGATTTATTCCTGTTGAACTCTTTCGAGCTGAGAGCTAGCTATGTTTATATGCACATAGATGTCATTGATAATGGTGCATAATGCAATAATATTTTCAAATGTCATGATATATTTAATTGCAATCATCCAACCGTGATATTCCAGCATGTTGTAGACAGGCATGATTGTTTTAGGAACGTTTCTTGCAGTTTTCACTATGATAATGATGAAACTTTGTGTCGATTTTTTTATGTAACTTTGACCAAGATTTGTTCATCAATGACAAAGATCAACACATCTCCAATGTTATATTGAATAACGCTAATGGTAATTTATGGAACAACGGTAAGTGATATTACGTATTTTTACATACCATAACTTTATATTGAATAACACGTAATGGTAATTTATGTCACAATGGTAAGTGATATTACGTGTTATTACATACCATAATGTAGCCATAGTGAATCATGTATGTTTAAACTTTCATATGACTGCCATATCATTTAATGCGTGTTGTTATTATTTGAATATTTGGAACGAGTTAATTATTTTTAGTCATATGTATTAACTGTTTATATATTCCGTTTATGCATTGGTCAGTTTTTGGCACTTATGGATTATAACTTTTAATCATTGTATACGTGTACTTGGTCATATTCAAGATATGGTTCTCATGTTGCTAAACTTGTATCATTTACAAGATTGTACTTATTTACCATGCTTTGGTTTATAAATGTGTACTAATTGATTTTAGTTTGTAATTTGTCAAGGTGCAAGTAGACAAGCTGACGTTAAAATAGGCATTGATGAATGTCTTCTTGGCTTGATGATGTAAAGATACCACGTCAGGTAACGGGGATTAATGATTGTATTATTGACAATGAAATATGGAGTAATGTCTCTTTAAAGGTGTAAAGATTGCAATATTAAGAACAGTATGATTTGCTAAAGTTTGCATTTTTCATTGTAATCGCTGTAGGAGACATGTTTAACACACACATGTATGTATGTATGTATGTATGTATGTATGTATGTATGTATGTATGTATGTATGTATGTATGTATGTATGTATGTATGTATGTATGTATGTATGTATGTATGTATGAATGTATGTATGTATGTATGTATGTATGTATGTATGTATGTATGTATGTATGTATGTATGTATGTATGTATGTATGTATGTATGTATGTATGTATGTATGTATGTATGTATGTATGTATGTATGTATGTATGTACGTACGTACGTACGTACGTGTATGTATGTATGTATGTATGTATGTATGTATGTATGTATGTATGTATGTATGTATGTATGTATGTATGTATGTATGTATGTACGTACGTACGTGTATGTATGTATGTATGTATGTATGTATGTATGTATGTATGTATGTATGTATGTATGTATGTATGTATGTATGTATGTATGTATGTATGTATGTATGTATGTATGTATGTATGTATGTATGTATGTATGTGTTCTCGTTATACAAAAGAAACGACATTGTTTTGGAGAGAAATATGTACTATAGGTACTGGTGTTACCAGGGAATGTTTGGAATTCGCATTATCCTGACGTAATTGCTGTTATTTGTATCATTTCCTAATTATGATGATAGCATTTGACAGCATTCAACCTGTACGTGGATATATATATATATATATATATATATATATATATATATATATATATATATATATATATATATATATATATATATATATATATATATATATACGAGATAAATAAATTTTTCATTTAAAAGAAAACGAGGCGTTTCGAGTTTAATTTTGATGAACAATTTATACAATTAATGGTTATCATTAATGCAGTGTACATAATATACATATATTTTATTTATACCACATATACACATATTTGCTCTTTGAAAGGAGTCAAGATATACTCCTGGCCACTGTGTATTGACTGAATGAATGAATTCCTCACATTCCAGCAAGTGTATCCGCTACAAAATGTAGTTCTAAACATTTTCTTGTTATTCACAATCACATTTGCAAATTGATAAAATGATTGTTTTCTTTTAAGTTTTTTTTTATTCACATTGATTAAATCAATATAAGACAAACTTCTGATTTAAATATCAATGATTGTTTTTATGAAGAAAGTTAAGTATAACAAAAGGTTAGCTTTTTATACACACTTAGCACTCAGGTTTAAATGTACAAACGTATGTTAATTAGCGTGGAATATAAGCTAAGCGAAATGCCGAACAAACAATTTATAGTTGACCTAAGTTATTATTCTGCTATATTAAACATTACTACTGGCCATAAAATTAATATCTCTTCTTTTCCTTTGGACGGTTTGACTTAACTTTACCATCATTCACAAGTCCAGGGACATCGCGGTATGACACAGGCGAATATTCCCAATGCTCGTATTTTTATGGATTTTTGCACATATCTTGCGACTATGTTCCGAAGGGAGAGCTGGAGATAAAGAGCGGATGTGGATGGGTGGGTGGACGCCGTTTGGAAAATTTCATATCTAATTAATTAATAATAAATTTTTAGAACATTTTAATAGGTGTAAGAAATAGCAAGAACTACAACAACTTTAAAGCATTAAATACATTATAGTATGTGTGCCTCGTAACTGACAAATTTAACTTATTGTGTCGACCGGCTATTACTGCTATCATTGATATTATAAACACTGTAGATAGATCCCATGAAGATAAAACATACCGTTACGACTAACCATGTTCTTGTAGGTTACTTGGTGCGTGATCAGTTTTAAAGTTTTCATCCAACCCAAATTAATTTTCTCTTAAACTTCATATTCCTGCGTATGTTGCCCATTTATACACGATAGGACAGAGGGAAACCGGAGGAAAGAAAAAATTGCGATCAGGTTCGTCCCAAGGATGTGCTGGGCTCAAAGCAGCAAAAAAAAAAAATTAAAAAAAATTCAACAAATCTTATTGCAGAGAAGCGCGGGGCCTAAGGCGGTTGCTTCGTTCTCCGTGCCCTAGGGTTGGGCCTGATTGCGATGATATTGTGTATCATTTTAAATTCATTTAGAAAACAGGAAATATTAATACTTTTTTCGTTATTTTCATACGTCGTTAATAATTATTGAATGGCAATTCGTCATTGTGTGTGTGTTTTAGATTTTTAACGTAGCTTTAACAATTTCAAGTCATGTCGCTACGATGTCTGCAGCGTGGCAGTTTATATGATGTCTAGCACTAGGGTATTAAGACGCAGACATGTAGTATTTTGTCCCACCCAGTCACATTATCCTGGCTCCAGGCCGACCAGTCCTAACACTAAAACCTCTTAATGCTGAGCGCCTAGCGAGGCAGCTATTAGTCCCATTATTATAAGTCTATGGTATGACTCAGCCAGGGTTTGAACCCGCAACCTCCCGCATCTAAGGTGGACGCTCTAACCACTAGGCCAACCTGAGCATTCGAAATTCGTCATTGATCTATAGGCCTGCAGTTGAAAGAATGTTTATATATTCGTATTATTGCGCCATGGGCGGATCACACTTTGATATACCATTAATGTTGGTATATCAATTTGCTGTATACCAACACTTTAAATGCCATGTTATTTTTATTGTATGTGGTATAAATATAGTTAAGTTTGTTTATGTTCTGGATTTTCATTAAGGTAAATTTCCATTCTGTACGTTTACCTCATAATTGCAATTGTTTTATTTACAAACAGTGTATCTGGTTTTTTTTTACTTGTTAATAGTTAAAAGCTAATAGATTTCTTTGTTTTGAAAATTCTCATAATGAGATTTAGGCAAAGATGTATTAGTATTTTAGTCTTTAGGGCTTCGTGTTTGTCATGGCGACTAATGGTAAAGTTCAAGGGAGATAGCTCAATTTCATGTTCGGGATTCATTTAAACGGAGTTGTTTCCCTCCAATTATGTGTCTGGTCTGAAGTGACCTTCCTTGGGAGAGCTCTTTAGCAGAAAAAACCGTTAACAGCAAGAACGAAGAAAAGCGAAAGAAGAAACACAGTCTTGATTATTTAAAAAAAATCGAACAATTAACATCGGTAACGACCCCGCCAGCAGGCTTGTTCTACACAATATGATATATTAAGATACATATCCAAGAAACTTGAATTCGGCCTTTAAAGGTCACAGGCCACCTATATTGTACAGACGTGTGATATTATTATAGTCATAAACAAAATGCCTTTGTTATGTATGCACACCATAAAATGCTTAAATAGACTTAAAAATTCACTTTTATAAATGAAAAAAATATTCGGCAATCTCCGTATATAATCGGTAGTTTCCTCGTGCAAAACACGGATATGACGTACATTTATTCGTTCTATTCAACCTAGCCATTCAAGTGTTTAATGTACCGACGTAAATGTCGATGTGATATATCATCTTACGATCGTGCTTTTGTACAGCACATAAGATGCATTGTCTTGCATATGGATGTAACCAAATGAGTGATGATGGGAAAAAGGATTCTTTCTTTTCCGAATGGCACTGTTTACCTGAAGAAGAAAAAAAAGCGAATTCAAGCTGTGAGATGAATAGGGTGAGGGAATGGGAAAGTTGTATCATTAATGTTGGACTATTGTCAATTTAGCCCAAGATAATTCGGCCCAATGCGAAAAACAATTCGGCTGAATTTAATAATAGTTTGAACAATTTGTTTTCTTAAAACAACAAGTAAATACAACCTAAAACACGTTTAGTAATAGGTTTTAAGGAAAAAAATAAATTTAAACTAAATTGATATTATTTCAAAGAAAATAAAAATGCTTTGCAACGTGTATATATATATATATATATATATATATATATATATATATATATATATATATATATATATATATATATATATGAGAGAGAGAGAGAGAGAGAGAGAGAGAGAGAGAGAGAGAGAGAGAGAGAGAGAGAGAGAGAGAGAGAGAGAACAGGCATATCTCGCTCGTTCCAAGTAAAATATTTGTATACATTTTTTAAGCTAAAAATATATGCATCTGCACAACGACATTCTCAATTTTAGTCTTTAGGTCAAATTATCAATATTCATTTATTAAACAATAAAACTCAACAGATAATATTCTACATAATATGTATAAATTTTTCTAAGGGTAGTGTCGATGAAATGTTAAAACAAATATATTTAATATTAGGCTTTGCATTTTGACACTACTGCATATAATACACACTCAGTTACGAGAGAGAGAGAGAGAGAGAGAGAGAGAGAGAGAGAGAGAGAGAGAGAGAGAGAGAGAGAGAGAGAGAGAGAGAGAGAGAGAGAGAGAGAGAGAGAGAGAGAGAGAGAGAGAGAGAGAGAGAGAGAGACGTTGAGCATCTTGTCAATGTTGCTGCACTATGAATCTCTTGCCAGTTAAATTTATTGTTTGTTTTAATTTTCAAGCTATCGTAGTGTGTTCGCGCGTAAATTAAAAGCTTGTCATTACCAGTCAATATTGTCAACAAATTTGTTCCGATATTCCATACAAATCAGAAAGGAATTAATTTTGTGTTGAATTTATGGCCCCTGTACCACAAGGTAATTAAAAAAAACGATCAACGTTCACTTATTTGAAAAGAAAATGAAAGAAACTAAACTTGCATTGTTGTAATTTATTCCTTTTTTCATCATGCGAAATTTATTTTAAAAAATATACCTACGAACTTGTGGTAGAGGGGCCTTAAATTTGACAAAAAGTCCTATTGGTATGAGCATGTATTCATGAGTCTACCTATTCAGTCTTGCAAAGTCTTATTGGCATGAGCATGTATTCATGAGTCTACCTATTCAGTCTTGCAAAGTCTTATTGGCATGAGCATGTATTCATGAGTCTACCTATTCAGACTTGCAAAGTCCTATTGGCATGAGCATGTATTCATGAGTCTACCTATTCAGACTTGCAAAGTCCTATTGGCATGAGCATGTATTCATGAGTCTACCTATTCAAACTTTAAAGGTGTTTTATATGCTTGACTGGTCTGTAATCCGACGATGTATGTTGTCAAGACGGACACGGAATATCTGACTTGTTTACACGCTTGAGGGCGTGAAAGACATGCGTGCAGTTAAAAACGAAATGAAAAGCTTTAATTAAATTGGCGTTTTGAACATATCTAGAAGTCGATTAATAGTGTGGGTTATGAAGGATCCCTATGAGCGAAGAGTAAAACGCAGTCTGATGTGGGATGTGAACCACCTCAATCAGTGAAAATTAAAATGCAACCTGATGCAATGTGGCAGTGAATGAAATGGGGTTATTGTGAAATGAATGCAATGTGTGTCTGTATTATAGTATCGAATATTAAAATACGATGTACTGAATGAAAATAGATTCATAATATGCATGTGAAAAGTGTTCGTAGATGCATAATAAATTATTAAATGCTTCTAGCTTGATTCCTCTCTGATGGCTGTTTACATAATCGTCGCGGAGAGGTGCAACAATCAAATTTTGTAAAAAGAAGTTATGATTGACTAAATGGACAGACACATCGTTTTTTTCATTTTCAAAAGGTGTATTAGTGATGTTTTAATTAAAATTAGTACATACACACCCTTGGTTTTCTCCCTATATTTCGTGTTGTGACAACGATATATGCCGACAATTGTTAATAAACGTTCAATAATTAGTTATCTAAAAATAATTATATTATTCAGATATACACAATACAATTATTTATGACAGTATTATACTGCATAAATATAATGCAAATTTTTAATAGAATAAAGGCAGATACAGTATGACACTCATTTAACACAGTGTATCACCAAGGCAGATTGAATGTTGTTGTTGTTGTTGTTGTTGTTGTTGTTGTTGTTGTTGTCGGGTGTAACGCCATTTTCAGCACAAGATAGACTATACATGGCGGCCAGTATTAATGGTGGAGGAAGAACCATGGAAAACCCAGGGAAGAACCACCGACCCACGAGAAGCTACTGGCAGGCTTTCTCACTTACCCACGTTAGCCGAATCTGGACTCGAACTCACGCAGATTGAATGTAACCAAGCCACATTTAATTATTTTGTATAATAAATAGTATTACTGAGAGACACAAATAATACTTTGAACGTAATATATTGCACAAGTTTAAAAAAAATGTATGCATATCACTGCCAGATTGAGGCTTTCCAGGACCATTCACACTGAAAATAGTATGGTTGCCCCTTCCCCAATGAAACTATGACAAAAATTCAATATTAAAAGCTAAAATGGTGGGGAAAATACCAGTATTGCCATCATTTCAAATCAAGCTACTCCTACATACAGATCGAAATGGTCATATATAATTCATTAAATTTTATCATCAAGTAGTAATTTGATTCTGTTTTTGTTTTCTCTTTTGTTCGGCTGGTGCCCTGACTTGGTGTTCTTCATGGGAAATCCGGAGTTATTTGTATAATAAAATCAGTACTGTTCCTAAGGCAGATACAAAAACTACTTATGACAAATGCAACAATGTCAGACTAACACACACACACACACACACACACAGACACAAACACACACACACGCGCGTGCGCTCGCGTGCGGTATGTACATACAGACCCAAAAAGTCACTGAGGCTTAAACAACTAAACGCGGATCAGCGATTGTTTGCGTGTTGTCCTTGGTGCAAATCTCTTCAAAAGACAGCGATGAATAAAATGCTTCAATGGGTGGCACACGGAGCTTCAGTAAACCTATCCCTGTCATGCATGGATTCGTAATGATAGATCCTTTACGAGTCAGCAAGGTAAACATTCAATTATCAGCTGCACAGCCGTATCAACAGTGATTGTAATCAAATCGTTACCATTCGCTTCAAGGTTGCTCAAGAATTTATCAAGGCTAAAATTAAGGAATTGTAATGAATCGATAAAGTTAAGCAGCCCAAGCCTAATCGTTGTACATATTTCCATAGAAAATGCTAATTGTTGCATTTCATGCAGCTGCCACTCATTGCATTTATAGCAAGAGTTTTTGTTTGTTGTGTAAATTCGTAACCATAACATGCATGCGTTGTGTATAGCTCCTCCTTGGGCACCAATGACGTGACTGTGATCGTGGATCTTGGTATCCGTCAGTTATATATATATATATATATATATATATATATATATATATATATATATATATATATATATATATATATATATATATATATATATATATATATATATATATATATATATATATATATACGGGATTTGGTTCGTATCTAGGAGTGACCTCCAACGGTGAAATTTGCCCGGTCTCGAATAAGCTACTACAAGTAGGGATTTATGAATGGGATAAAGTAGTAATCTGAGCTAAAGTATAAATCTGAGCTAATGTAAAGAACAAATAAGAAGAAATCCCATTACAAGTAAAGTAAAAATTGAATAAAATTTCAAACAATAGAAATGTCCACGAATAAACAATATAAAAATTACCATTCGACAGATACTTTTTTCTTTACGTAT